TTATATTATATTTATACATATTAGAAATTATTAAAACATTAAAAAATGACTTTCTTATTTTTAATATTGTATACAAAATGCAGTACAATACAATACTTGTAAAATATAAATAACAGCTTTGTTTTTATTGCTTAACCAATGTTTATAAAATAAAAAGCAATCAATCAAAAGTAAAAACAATTATGTCATTGACCATGAATATTTATTAAAATTAAATCATTAAATTTTTCCAAGTAAATAGTTAATGAATGTATTAATAAAAGAAAGAGATGTTTGTAATATTTAATAATTGATTTAATTGTAATTGAATATTATATTATAATAAAATACAATAATTATTATAACTAGTATAAAAGTAATAAGGTTTGAATTAGCAGTTCAATTTTTTTACCTCATCTCTGTAATAGTCCATTTTTATATACTTTTTTAACTTTCTTACTTAAATAATTTTTGTATATTATAAATAAAAATTAAAAAATATATATAAATAAACAATATAATGGTATTTATTACTATTTATTTAATTATGAAAGACTTTTTTTACTTACATGAAAATAAAAAAAAGTGTACAAAATTAATTTGTAAAGTGTTTGATGTAAAATTGTAAAGGTTGTAAAGGGATGAATACTACAAAAATATAATATAAATTTATTGCATTTATTACGATAATTAAATTAAAATATTCGTTCTAATATTCATTTTGCCACAATTATTATTCTATTTAATTTGGATCACGTGCGTCCTTAGCAACCGATGTTAACAGATGTGTTTGAAAAACGCGGTAAAATTTTAAAGAAAAAAAGAAAAAAACCACCTTTGGAATAATAACAAAATGTTTGTATTATATTTTGTATTGTATTGTATATTGTACTTGTATTGTATTGTCTTTATGTTGTGTTGTGTTGCGTCGCTGTGTTGTTTTGTTTTGTTGTGTATTGCATTGTATTGTATCGTATTGTATTGGTTTGTACTGTATTTATGATGAGTTGTGTTATATATTGTATTGTATTGTATTGTATTGTATTGTATTGTATTGTATTGTATTGTATTGTATTGTATTGTATTGTATTGTATTGTATTGTATTGTATTGTATTGTATTGTATTGTATTGTATTGTATTGTATTGTATTGTATTGTATTGTATTGTATTTAAAATTAATTTAAAATCATAAATACAGTACAAAAAAATTAAATATGTTAATTTTAAATGGAATTTTCGTGTTTAAATGCATAACGTGTTTGTAGTCTGGTCAAAGCAACAGAGACAACCATTTTCAGTCCAATAAGCTGATAGTCATGCTAAAGTTTTATTGGGTGTTGCTTGCTACAAAGTTGAGTGAGGTCAATATCGCAATTTCATTTTGTTACTGACATCACAAGCCATACAAAGTTACTTTCAGTTTTTGTCGAGTGAGGTCAATAACGCGATTTCACTTTGTTTCTGACATCACAAGTCGTACAAAGTTACTTTCAGTTTTTGTCGAGTGAGGTCAATAACGCGATTTCACTTTGTTACTGACATCACAAACCGTACAAAAGTTACTTTCAGTTTTAGCTGGTTCATTTGAAGATTCTATCTAGTTAGTTTATGACTTTGTAACAGTTTCATTTAACTGTTCCATGTTATTGCTGTTATGTGGAGCAATTGGCCGTTTCAGAAACAGCATGATGCAGACGGGTTTTCAATAAAGAATTAGTTAATAGACTTCATCCAATTGCTCAACCAAAGAAGAGTAAGATATTACACAACACATTTCACTTATGCATACAAATATGTTGCTTCTGTCTACATTGTTGCCACATATGTCTCGCAGACTATTTAAAAATGTCTCGAAACGTGAATGGGACGCATCGACGTTGGAGCAATTGATTCGGGTAATTGTTCATTTAATTTAGTTACGCCCTACTGCAGTCATTCACGCTGATTTCTTCACCATGTTTTGAGACTGGCTTGCGGATTTTATCATGTGAGTGTTAAAAAAATTTGACCAGCTATTAAGTGATGTGTGTATGTGTAGTTGTATTATATTGCTTTTTTAATGCTTGTTACTTTAACGCTACACATAAATAGTATTTTGTTGTCTATCTTTTTTTTAAAGTTAATCATGCTGTTTAAAACATTCGTTGTTTTGTGAAAATAAGCAGAATTTTGGATTAAATTTAAATTAACTTACTCCAAATAGAAATAGAGTTTATAGAAACAACAAAAAAACTTATCAAATCAAGAGCAAAAAATATATCCTAATTTTGTTTCATTTATAAAAAATTAAAAAAATACATAACAAGTGAACATTTGAAATCTGGACGTAACCAAGAAGATTGATGATCCATCCGAAGACAGTTGAGCCGCTTTAAAAAACCACACTATGCATGCCTTCATGTTTGCAGGTCAATTAAAGATCATTTCTCTCTGATTTGATGAATTAGAGAAAATATGGGACAGGATTTATCTTTTTTCACGAATAACTGATTTCTCATGAACGATCAACAATGTCTTTATAAGATCAATAAAATGCAAACGTATCGGACAAATGCATTTATTCAATAGTTTCAGAAGATTGCTTCCCGGTCACTCGCCTGTTTCGAGTGTGAATAGATTTCGAACCGTCGTATCATAACAGTGTGAAACGTGGTTTCTGCACATGTGCACTTTGTTGAGAGTATGAAGTTGTTTAGTTACATGTTGATGGGTGTGTATGTTTAAATATGCGTAGTACGTATAATGATCAGTTAATTTATTAAATAAATTATTTGTTAAAAATTAATAGCTTAAGCGAGATAGAGTTTACTATCGATTTGATCATAAGTTCAAATGAATACCATGATTTGCATTCAAAGATGACAAAATAACAAAGCAATAAAAACAACACAGTAGTGACTTCACTACAGCAACATAACACAGCAATCCAACAACTCAGTAACAATTAAACTACAAACACTCGACAAAAATAATAATGGCTCAAAAATAACGAAATAGCTCATGTTTCTTTCAAAAGAATACTTCAAGTTTTGTCAGTTACGTAATCAATTAAGACATCAACTATGCAGCTATGTATTATAGAATATATCTATGTATATGTGCATATGTGTGTGTATGATTGTGTGTGTGTGTGTGTGTGTGTGGTTGTGTGTGTGTGTGATGTCACCAACATGCATGATATTATTCATGCTTGATGTGAATGCGCGTACAACTGAAAATTATACGTAAATAAATGAAATGAGAATAGGTTTATTTAGATTTGCAGTCGATATAAACATACGTATTGTACGTTTATTCAAAAAAATATATTTATTTATATATTTATTTCTATGCTCCTTAGTACGAAATAGCTAATATTATATATATATATATATATATATATATATATATATATATATTAATTTATATAAATATACACGATAATATATAATATATTTATATACATATATATATACACTTGCATATAGATGCATCTGTGTAGCGTGAGTATATTTTAAGTATGTGTGATTATTGATTCAAATAAGTACGCGAGAACTTAATGTGACATTGAGCCCCATTGTCAATTAATTAATGCATTTATGTTATTTTATTTTATGTTATTTACTTCTTTATGTTGTTAATCGTTTGTGTGCGTGTTTGTAAGTATGTATTTGTGTGCATGTGTGTTTGTGTGTGTTTTGTGGATGAGTACGTGGGTGTAGTGTGTTTGTGTGAGTGTGTGTTTATGTGTGTGTGTTTCTTAATGTTTATATGGTTTATGTGCGTGTGAGTGTTTATGAGTTTGTTTGTATAATTTGAATCCATGCATGTGTGTGTCTGGAATGGCGATAAACTTTGAATAGAACTGTTATTTGTGAAAATTCAAAAACCGTTTATACAACTTTATATAATTTAGGAAGTTTGACAAAAATTCAACGGAGCGAACTATCATCGATCGAACCAGCATGGGACTTTTTAATTTTCAAACAATTAATTATGCTTGGCTTTAAAAAATAATAAAAAAACAATTTTATTGATAATCTGCGAAATATTGTTAGATAATAAATTTGTGAAAAGAATGACAGAAAGCAAACAAGCAGATAACAAGAGTACGTGAGAAGGTGTCAGACTGTTGAAGCAACTGTGAAGTCAACTAATTATCAGATGATCGATAAATAACAGCACCGGTAATTGAATGTGACTGTAGCGAAACATAACTGCCTGCACTAATATTAATGGTGGATGGATGGATGGTGAGAATTTGCAGCCTGTAATTCCTAACATCAAGATCGCACAGTGGCTCTAAAATGCCAGAGACACGGTTGTAGTAGTTGTAGCAGCGGCAATCGCGGTTGTTCTCTTTGTTGCTGTAATAAACGATGTAAGTTATAGTAAATGTTGAAACAGAAGTAGAGGTAAGTGATTAAAATATTGCCACAGCCACTGAAAATTTCTCCATCGTAAAACGCCACGAGACCAGAACTAATAAATAGATAAAAGTATGTAAAAAAAGTAATAAAGTATTACCAGTACAAATACATGAAAGTGATATGTAGTAAAGTGATTAAAACGTATGGTAGCTTGATTATTTTACAGCAGTTAACTCAGCAGTTAAACTGTTGGGCACGAGTCAGCAATAAATATGTTCGTTGGTGGTCCACGGAGTTAGAATTCATATCGTTAACTGTTGTTCCCTCAATATTTATAAAGAGTTGTATTCTTTGTTTGCATATTCATAAGCTTATTATAAATATGAGAGCGTTGACATATTCAAATGAGAATAAAAATTATCATAGTGTCAACTGTGGAAACTGCAGCAAAGTCCTGATGCATCTCAATACATTTTTTTATTCAAATTTGAACTGTTAAAAATTATTATCCCGCACACCGTTAGCACACATCCACACCGATGCTCGAACCTTATTGGCGCAAAGTTAATTTATAGGCGGAGTTAAAACTTACCACGAATCATAACAAAGCGAGCAAAGCGAATATATTGCTATATATACGACGAACTTTATCACAAGTTCACTAAAGAAAGACAAGTTGAGCATTAATAGTCACTACATTCAACAACTGGTTCACCTATTGAAACAACTGGTTCACGACAAATTGAGCTTTATATTTCAAAAAAATACCACGCCTAACAACTGGTTCACTTTTTGAAACAATTCTTTGAAGCTTAACACATCCAAATCCATAATGGAAGTTGACCTTAAATCAAAATTTAATGCAGATGTTGGAGTTGAAAGAAAATTAGGCAATCAATGGGAGTTGGTTGATGCAGCTAAAAGCCGATGCTACGCATGCGGGCAGATAATCGAGGACCACTTCCTGATGAATGTTTTTCCAGGTGTGAAGTTCCACGAGAAGTGCCTGAAGTGTGTCGAGTGTGGCAAGTTGCTCGATGAGAGGAACGTCTGCTACTGCATGAAGGCACAAATATACTGCGCTCATGACTTCAACAGGTCAGTTACATGCGTTTCTGTGATAATGCATTAATGATTTAAATTTTATTAAAAACAGATTTGTTCATTTTAAATGTTTTGAATTTTAATTTTTTTTAATAAGCAAATATTTAATCAAAATTTTTTATGAAACATCTTGACAGGTTGTTTGGTGGAAAATGCGACAACTGCAACGTGAGGTTTGGGCCTGGTGAGAAGGTCATGAGGACTCAGAGGTCAACAGCCTACCACCCCCACTGCTTCAGGTGAATATTTGTCAAATTTTGTTTTTTTTTTGTTTGTTATTGCTATCCAACCAAATTTTTAATTAACCATTATTAAGTTCTATACAAACACTCACATGTAAGTAAATACATATAACAAAATAACATGTGAAATATACTTTATTCATTAAAAATATAACTATGAAATATTTCAGATGTTTCAAGTGCAACAAGTTGATTGCGGCTGGTGAACCGTACACACTGCATGGAACCATGTTGTTTTGTTCTTTGCAGCACAAGATGGAGGCCTTCACCACATATGAATCCGCAAACAATCCGAACGACAACAACAATAACAACAACTCGTTTATCGGCACTGAAAATAAAATTTACAACACAAACAACAAACTCAGCAGTACGAACAACGTTTACAACGAATACAACAATACTTACAAGATAAACAACAACGAACACGACTTGAGTAACAACACCTTCAGCCTGAACAACAATACTTTCGACCTGAACTACAACACTTTTGACCTGAACAACAACAACAACGAGAACAATGAGAACAGCAGCAACGACACTTTTGACCTGAACAGCAACGACAGCAGCAACAACAACAAAGACATCTTCGACCCGAACAACCACAACAACACTTTCAACCTGAACAACAGCAACAACAACACATTTAACTTGAACAACTACAACATCAACACTTTCAATGCAGTCGATATCAAGTGGGACATGAAAAAAAAATCACCCCAAATGGACAATTATCAGCAAGAAAATCAACAAAACCATCAACATAGTCAACAGAAAATCGAATTGCAACAACCACAAATTTATGCCAAATTGCCTCAACACTACGAAAACATTCCAAAACACTCTTTAGATCAGTTTTTAGACCAGCAGCAGCAACCACTATCAACATCGCCAACAACATCATCATCAACACTATCGGTGTCGCCAACGTCACCAACGGAATCCACCAGAAAGGCTCCTCGCCACCGAACACCCATGACCGAGTCGCAACTCTCCGTCTTGAAATCTTTCTACAAGACGAACAGCAGACCCGACGGACTGGACAGGGACAGCCTCTCCCTCATCACTGGCCTGCATTCCAGAGTCATCCGCGTCTGGTTCCAGAACAAAAGATGCAAAGACAAGAAAGAGGGCAATGCTGCAGTTTCAGTGCAGACGGAACAATGAAATGTTTTTCTATGAAAATGTTTTTTCCAATAACATACTCGCGAGAAATATATGGAGGATTATCGTTGAAATTATTTATCTGCAAATTTGATATTATATATTTATTTTATATTTTTAAAAAAATTTTTGCATTAATTTTAAGAAATGTTGTTGAAAATATGATATCTGGAGATTGCTGAATCCATCGAATGCTGATGAAACGAATTTTGATAACGCACGTGATTAATAATAAATAAAAATCATCATATATTGAATTGTTTTTTAAATGAGGTACCCTTGAAATGTTACGTCAATAAATTATTTTACAAACAAACATTCATAATTTTATTGAATTTTTTTTCGTCGTGTACCCAAATATGAAATAATTATTCTTTCATTCAACCTTAAAAATTATTAATAGTGCAATATTTAATTTGAAAAGCACTAAAGAACAAAACCTTGACAAGAAAATTAAATTTTGAACTTTAAGTTGATGATTGGCTGACCAATGCGGAATATTGGACTCGTTAACTTTGATTCATTTGTGGACTGCGTGTATTTGTGACATGAGATTTTATTTAAAAATAAAATATACCAATTTTTTTCGAGATATAATATAAATAATTTAATATAATTTTTGAAATATCTTGTTAAATAAAATAACAAGTTATGTAACAGAAGGGGAGGAACTGTTATTCTTTTTTAAAATTCTGCCATCTACGTGCAATCTCATTGTTAGAATAATTGAGATCGATAAATTGATTAATTGATTCGTTAGATTTTCGTTAATTTCTTGATGGTTATTTGTGAAAAAACGTGATTGAAGGAAGGTATGGGGAAAAAATCTTATAAGTTTTTATCTGACCAAAATCACATGACACATCGTAAAAGCTTCAACGCGTCATTTCTAAATTAAATTGCTTGTTTATGCGTGCTTTCCGGTCAGGTCGAAAAGTACCTCAGAGGAATGATATCGGAGTCAACATTCGACAACCACTATATTTGAAACTGTCTTTTAAATTTGTCGGTGTGTGAAAAAAATTCGACCGCAATTTTTTTTATTCTCTTTTGTGGCTGGTGAGCTGCCTACATTTCGTTTAATCCACAGTTTCTAAAAATCTGCAATTTACGTTGAGTTTGTTACCTTTTATAACTGGTTGGCAGGGAATGGATTCTTCGACACCTTCTTTTAGAGCTTCCAGCGCATGGGCCAGAAACGAGCACGAAATAATAAACAACTTAGCACATACGTCAGTGAATAAAAATGAAAAATCGCCCTTGCAGTCGAACTCCATCACCGTACGATCACTTGCTGTGGTCATTGCTTCAGGCGTAGGTGCAAATATCTCATGTGGTAACTCTAATCACTCATCAAACTTTTAAACCCAACAGCAATTTTCAATTAACAAATGCAAGATATATTCAAAAATACTCATTTATATTTCATGTATGTTTACTTCGTAGCTTTTTTAACAATAAATGACTGTTGAATTGAATCATTTTGATCCAAAAATACAAATCAATAATGTTAAAATGAACAAATTGAAAAGGAGCAGAGCAGATATCTTGTCGCCGTCTCAGCATGTTGCTCGCCAGTTGCAGCATCGGTTGCGCAACACCAGGCTGCGCTTCATTCAACTGCTCAGTTGATGTTGGTGGACGGTCATATGTACATTCCAACATAACAGTTTATAAATAAAAATTTGATTATTGATTACATTTCATATACTATGTGTTAGAAATACAATGAAAACTTTTGAGCCTCAAAACCATCATATGTCTCCTAGACCGATTTAAATAGTCTCGAAACGTGAATGATACTCGTTCATTCATATTGCAGTGTTCTACTGGTGTGAATGTCTATGAAGGTTAGACTTGTTTGAGGATTTATTCATGTGTGATGGTGCCTGCTTTTTATTGGAGCCAGTTTATGACATTGTATCACTTATATAAAATGTAGCATATATATTCCATTTAATGAAGGTATGTCTGTCTAGTAATTAATATTAAACTATTGTTATATTATAATTATAATTTATTTAGCGTTTATTTACTTTTTGAACTGTTTATTATAGTACTTGTTATTTTTGAACACACCTCACCCAACCATGAAGGCAGTTTTTGTTGCAGCAAGCGTTCATTTGATTGAATTAGAACTATTAGAACGTAAATTAGGTACAACAAACTTAATAACAGACTGAACGCGAGAAGTCCTCCCAGTTTCGTGCAATTAACATGAGAGATCAAAGTAAATGAACAAGTGAACATTTGACACCAGCGTGTAGCCAATTAACATGATAGAAGATTGGCGATTCAATCGGAGACAATTGAGTCATTTAAGAGCCACGCCAAGCTCGCGTCCGACATCTGTCATGCTTACAAGTCCATCAATGATCATTTCTCGCCAGATTAAAATTAAAGTTTTAAATTAGCAATATTGATAAGAAGAACAATATATTTTTATGAAAAAGTTGAAATATGGGATATTGATGGTCATCTTATTGTTTGTATAAACAACTAAGAAAATTCAAATGACCAACTGGACTCAGTCACGTGCATCTTTATAACTGTAAGTTCGTTTTGTAAGTTTGATTATTTTAATTTTTAATTCTCCTGCCAACAAATTTGGAAGAAGGAGCACATCAATGAAACAGTAGTTACTCGGAAAGTTCAAAACTGGAAAACTGAAATCAGTTGTGATCGTCGGATGACAGAGCATGAATTAAGAACATTATTCATTAAAAAAATGAGGAAATATTAAAAATTAATAACACAAAAAATATTGTGAATACAATTTAAATAAAAAATCTGGTGAATATTTGAATACAAAATAGTTGAAAATGAAAAAAAACTCTTAGATTTACATATGCACTTTAAACCAATGCACATTGTCGAATATTTTGAACACCAAAACAATCAAAACTAGTTGTTGTTTTTAAATTACTCTTGAAATAATAATAATAAACTACATGCCGAATCAACTGCCTATACTCAAATACGTATAAAAACACATGAACAAATTTATCTGCTATGGAAAGATGACAATACGGCAACATCATCAATATCACAGTACAACAACAGCAACAATAGCAGCAGCAAAACGACTCAATACAACAACAACAACAACAAACAAAATGTTCATCCCTGCCAACATTCACTCAAACGTCAGTCAGTGCTCCTCTGCCCTCACTGCCTTTGTTACAAAAAAATACTTTACGTTACGTCAATTGTCTGTCCCTTTGTAGCAATGTAATAACTTTAATTTATGGATGTATACAAATATAAATTTGCATATACAAATATGACTTTATTTATTTATTCATTTATATTATTTATTCAGTTTGTTTATATTTGTATGTAGCAACTTGCAAGTTGCACGGTGGTAAATAAAATTTGAAGCATTTGGGTTTGTACGTGCATATCACCGGGTCAGTAATTGTTAAATATTGTTACATGATTTTTTATGTGACTCAAGTCTTACGTAATTTGTTTTAATGCATTTCTTCGTAAATGGATACAGTTGTATGTTTCGGATTGTATGTGTGTGTATGTGTGTGTGTGTGTGTGTGTGTGTGGGTGCTTAGTTGTGTGAATGTATGTGCATGGGTGTTTGTGTGAGTGTGCGTGCAAGTGTTTCTACTATATGCATGTCTGTGTGTGTGTGAGCGCGTGAGTGTGTGTGTGTGTATGAGCGTGATAGACGCAAAATTTTCTGCACGTACGTAATTTCATTAAAGCAAGTCAACAAAACCAACGGCATAATTCACATCACATCTACATCGGTTAAAGTATCTTTTTTGTTTAAGACCGTCTTAATGATAATAATATATTTGAACTAAAAGTTTATTAACACACAATATTGATTTGATGTCAAATAAAAATTTTAAAAAGTACCAAACAACCAGGCAAACTGTTCAAATGTTTGTTCAACTATTTAAAAATCAATCTAGAATGTTTGGCTTTGAAAACAATGTTGCTGGAATATAATATTCAATTGGGTTTTATGGAAATAAGTTTATTGAATGACAGAAAGCAAACAAGCAGCTAACAAGAGTACGTGCAAGGTGTTGAGAAGGTGTCAGACTGTTGAAGCAACTGTGAAGTCAACTAATTATCAGATGATCGATAAATAACAGCACCGGTAATTGAATGTGACTGTAGCGAAACATAACTGCCTGCACTAATATTAATGGTGGATGGATGGATGGTGAGAATTTGCAGCCTGTATTTCCTAACATCAAGATCGCACAGTGGCTCTAAAATGCCAGAGACACGGTTGTAGTAGTTGTAGCAGCGGCAATCGCGGTTGTTCTCTTTGTTGCTGTAATAAACGATGTAAGTTATAGTAAATGTTGAAACAGAAGTAGAGGTAAGTGATTAAAATATTGCCACAGCCACTGAAAATTTCTCCATCGTAAAACGCCACGAGACCAGAACTAATAAATAGATAAAAGTATGTAAAAAAAGTAATAAAGTATTACCAGTACAAATACATGAAAGTGATATGTAGTAAAGTGATTAAAACGTATGGTAGCTTGATTATTTTACAGCAGTTAACTCAGCAGTTAAACTGTTGGGCACGAGTCAGCAATAAATATGTTCGTTGGTGGTCCACGGAGTTAGAATTCATATCGTTAACTGTTGTTCCCTCAATATTTATAAAGAGTTGTATTCTTTGTTTGCATATTCATAAGCTTATTATAAATATGAGAGCGTTGACATATTCAAATGAGAATAAAAATTATCATAGTGTCAACTGTGGAAACTGCAGCAAAGTCCTGATGCATCTCAATACATTTTTTTATTCAAATGTAAACTGTTAAAAATTATTATCCCGCACACCGTTAGCACACATCCTCTCCACTGCTCAAAACTTATTGACTTGTGGGCGGAGTTAATACTCCCCACCAATTGAAACAAAGCAAAGAAGGGTTACAGTTATATGCTCATATATATATATACATTGCACTTAAGCTCAAATAAACCAATAAATAAAATTTGAAAACCATATGGTGTTTGATCAACGTTCGCTTGGAAATAACTTCAATTAATTGCAGTAGCAGCAGTCGTTGTAGTAGTGCTTCTCTTTTTTGGAGTGATAATTCACAATTATTATAATGGAAAGCAACAATTGTCCTATAATGAATGAAGGTGTCCAAAGTGAGTAAGACATTCTGCGTTAAATTATACTTTCAAGATTTTTTGCTCTTTATTTTTCAGTTGTGGCAAGCACAGAGTTGACTGCACATCGTTCCTTGCCAACTCGTTTACAAACAACTTTTTGTGCCACAATGGCTGCGCAGTGCATAATTCAAAAGCGGTATGCATGTAATTAATTTGAAACCTCTTACAACTAACATAATTTAAAAAAATTGTTTTGCAGTTGAAAGCCGATGTTACGCATGCGGGCAGATAATCGAGGACCACTTCCTGATGAATGTTTTTCCAGGTGTGAAGTTCCACGAGAGGTGCCTGAAGTGTGTCGAGTGTGGCAAGTTGCTCGATGAGAGGAACGTCTGCTACTGCATGAAGGCACAAATATACTGCGCTCATGACTTCAACAGGTCAGTTACAAGTTTATAATTTACCGACAAATGATTTTTTTTACTGAAAGAATGATTTAAAACATTATTAAAACAAGTAATATTTTAAAATATTTTATTAGATTATTTGGTGGTAGAGGCGGCAACTTCAATGAAAACCTTCCTGGCGAACCACATCAGCCACAAGAAACACACTCATCCCCTTCCTCTGCCCCTTCGACATCACCTGCAGCACCAGCCACCAGGCCACCGCGACATCGGACGCCGATGACGGAGGCTCAACTGCAGGCACTGAAGACTTCCTACATGTCCAACCCGAGACCCGACGCCCGAGAAAGAGAACGACTGTCTTCAGTATTAGGTTTGAAAGCCAGAGTCATTCGAGTTTGGTTTCAAAACAGAAGATGCAAAGAAAAAAAAGAAAACTTGAAAAATTGAATTTATTTTTTTTTCATAGTATTTTCAATGATTAGGTATAACATGTACGTACGTATACACTTTGCCGTGCATATTGTTTCCGCTTCAAGTCTTGAATACTTGCAATAGTGGTTTAATTCGTTCTATGTAATTGAACACTGGTATGATCTTTAAAATATTTCATATAATAATTGGGTACGTATGTATATATGTATTGTATTATATTGTATTGTACATTGTGTATATATAAATATAAACAATTATATAAATGTGTATTTATATATAATATGTATGTGTTACCTATTGTTTTCCTTTTGGAGTCTAACATCTGCTTAATTCCAATAGAAAACGGAGATACATTTTTCTATTTCAAACTCTAATTTAAGTTTTTAATCAGTACCGAAAATTGCGCAGCCTTTATTTTTTTGGTCAAACTCAATTTTGGGTTGAGAACAAGGAAATGAAGGCGAAAGAGGAGCTAATGTATAATTTTGAAATAAAAAATAAATAAATTTGTTTTCAAAACAAATTCTCTGTTGGCTTGTTGCACATTGAAATTAAACTTAAAAATGAAATTTTTAAACCAATAATTCTAAGTAGAAGCTTGCTCCCGTTAAGCACGTAACTGTGTGGCTAAGAGGCATGAGTTAAAAAATTGTAATCCCGGTGGCAATCATATCGAAAATGAAAATAAGAAAAATTAATTGTTTTGGCAATGTAAAAAGCACCAAAATTATATAAAACATAGGATAATAATTCAATTTTTTATTACTAAAAAATGTATTTTCATTTAAAATTTATTTATTCAAGAGAAGAGCAAGCGGCGATGGTTTCAATTAGTTCCTATTTAATTCGTCAGATGTCAGGATTTTAATGGTGTTATTTTCAGTTGCTGTTCATTTTTTAAGTCGTTGAAATTGTCAAATTAGATCCACCAAACCAGCAGACAACGTGGATGTTGTCCACTGAATTTAACTTGAAAAAAAAAATTAGAAAAAATTATCAATCTAAAATTTGTTAGAATTTTCATTTTTTCGTATAGGACTTTAGGAGGAAAAATATTAAAAATTGTTTGAAGAGTTACATGTGGGGAATATTTTATTCCATTACAAACTTTTTGGAAATTGAGATTATGAGAATAATAATAGATAAATCGTTTATGGTGTGTAAAATGTAGAACTAACATTTAAAAAGTCTCAACCCTGCATCTCACCTTATGTTGGATCAGGCCGAACAGCTAAAGTTTCAATTAAACCCGATTAAAATTTTACCGACAATATTTTTTAAAATTTATTTTTGTTTAACTTTCATCACATCTTCAGGCAGTGGTAATATTCAATCGGAGCTACCCATTTGTGCAGAAGACTACCCAATCATTCACATTATAAATTTTTTTGTTCTATTAAACAGTAAGAATCTGACGAACGCAGAAATTGTTGCAGCATGCAAGGCAGTAGTATAAAATGGTAACGAAAAATAAATAACGGAGAAAAAAATGTTTAAGCATGAAAAGTTTGGAAAAAAAAGTATTGGTTTAAAAAGGCAAATAGAGTAATTCATTGATGGATTAGTTAATGACTTAGTGAGTTAGTGAAGTAATCGATAAGAAGAAAGAGAACTAAATTGAGTAACTGAGTTTTATTGAGCGCTAATATGTTTGAGGTGTCTTGTGATGAAGGTCTCATCCTGGTATTTTGGTTGAGTTGCGATGGTTATGCTTGCATCGGTGAAGGTTGTGTGTTGTAGTTTTGATTGGCGGTAGTAGGGAACCACTCAATGCACATCACACGGCACAAATATTTCAATCATGAAGGGACATTTATTTCACTTATAAGACGTGCTCTGACGGGTTTATTCAATTACGTCAAAAACGCGTATTTCCTGGCAGTCTGAATGTTTGGCTGTACACTTTATTACGGTCTGAACACGCGGTAGTTTAATTCGTATTAAACAAGTTAAATCTTTCCTCTATATAAATATATATATATAATTATAATATATGCAATTATTGATGAATATATTAATTTATTTATGAGATCCAAGTAAGCTTGCATTATTTCGTACTTAAAAATTCGATCTTATAACGGTGATCCAATTAAACGCATTTATAGCATTTAAAAAATGATGATAATGATGATAATAATGATGATGATGATGGTGATGATGATGATGTGACGACTAGGTTGACGAGAAGAATGAATGTGAGAGATGACGAGGTTGTTGTGGAGCCTGCAGCAGGCAAGCAAGCGATAAATCAGCCGAGCAGGGCGTTACTAAAACAAAGCCACAGCAACTGCAAAACAAACTTGCAAACATTTCTTTCTAACTGACGATTAAGCGCTGAAAGGTCAGCGACCGATGGTGGAGATGGTTTGCTGTCCTGTCCATTCCTACTTTCACTTAACTGGTTGCTCCGTGAATTGTTGATATTCGAGTGTTAATTCATCTGGGTTTTTTTCATTTATCAATTCACTCATTCATTCGTTCGTTCGTTCATTCGTTCATTCGTTCATTCATTCGTTCATTCATTCATTACGATGAATGAACGAATGAATGAATTGATAAATTGATAAATGAAAAAAAAGAACGAAATGCATCCATCATTACGATGAATGAATGAATGAATGAATGAATGAATGAATGAATGAATGAATGAATGAATGAATGAATGAATGAATGAATGAATGAATGAATGAATGAATGAATGAATGAATGAATGAATGAATGAATGAATGAATGAATGAATGAATGAATGAATGAATGAATGAATGAATGAATGAATGAATGAATGAATGAATGAATGAATGAATGAATGAATGAATGAACTTCATTTTACATTCCTTCCTCCTATTTGTTACTTGCTCCAACTGAGCGTTAGTGAAAAAAGATTGATGTTATCGTTGTGAACGGTGTTAAATTTGAAGGCACCTTAGGAACTGAATAAACAAAGCCGCAGGCATTTGTGTTTCTGCCTGGCCATTTATATTGATCCAACAAGCTTAATTCTTCCTTCTCTCTCTTTTCATTTGTTTTGTTGCTGTTGTTGCTTGATTTTGTTCTTGTTATTGAATGCTGTGGTTTGGGTTATGTGTGTGTATGTGTGTGTGTGTGTGTGTTTATTTTATTTTAAACATACATCAGAATTATTTTTTCTATAGCTTCTTAAAGTATTCCAATGGCAAGTCGCATAATTCGTTAAAAAATGTAGTTATTTGTTTCGAGTTTGATGGTAGAGGAATATCTGATAGGTTACAAATTCCGTGGAGTTGTATAAATATGATTTAAATGATTTATAAAATATTGCCTGCAGAAACAAATGAGACTTATAATAAAAATGCCTTCATAGTTTATTTTGTGCACATCTTGAGCTAATTAATTTGCGCAAGCAGACCTAGTGACAGATCTAGGGGGGATCGGGAGAGCCAGTGCCCCCCCCGGTGTGAGCAGTTTATTAATAAAAGTCAGATAAAGGACCGTTTTATGTGTAAATCGACAAAGAATTGAACGTGATAGGGAAATAAAAGGTCGTCATCCACGCTACTAAAAATGTTGGTTGGCTCCCAACGTAAAAATTTAAACATTTTCAATTTGTTGCCCCCCCTCCGTCAAAGTTGTCTAGATCCGCCACTGGGCAGACCACAAATAATAAATAACTTTTAAATATAGATTTTTACGTTTAATTAAATTTTAAAAAAAGAATGATACTCTTTGGTTTGAAAAAAACTGCTTACAGCCACGAGTTAAAAATTCGGGAGTAATTGTTTTAATATGTGTGTATCAATTGCCTTTGTTTAAAATAGAAAATAATTCGAATGCCTTCCTTATATGAACACATGCCCTGCTTAAGCTCTCGGTCCCATTGAAGATATTTATCGACCAGCCAATACGCTTGCTTTGTTTTGTTCGTTCGTTCGTTTTTTCTTCCGTTTACACGTTTTTTGTTCACACAATTTTGTTTGTTTATATTTTTTATTTGTTTCTTTATTTGAAATTTCCTCAATTCATTCGTTTAATTATTTTTCATCTTAGATTGATAACTGTTCACGTAGATTGGAGCCACAGAGCATCGTTCTATTGCGTTCGTACATAGAAGGAGGCAGACACACGTGTCAGTGCATGTCAAGACGCGTACGTACGTAGGCAACGCATGCAGACGACACACACGCAGATGATGTGCGTTGATGTGTTGTTGGGCGTCGCTGAATGTGGTGGTACTGTTGTTTGGAAGGACGTGAGTTCGAACGCGTAGACGGCAGCAGAGCAGGAGTTGTTGTCGTTTGTTGATGATGGTTCATTCTCTGCAAATGCTGATTTGCTGCTCATCTGTGGGTTCTACAGAGTAGTTGGTTGGTGTGTTGGTTGGTGTGTTGGTTGGTTAGTTGGTTGGTCAGTCGGTTGGTTGTTTGTTTGATTGGTTGGTTGTTTGTTTGGTAGGTTGGTTAGTTGATTTGTTGGTGTTATGCTGGATTGTTTGTTTGTGTTGTTGCCTGTTTGTTGTTGTCATCTGTTATTTATATTTTTGTTGTATTTTCACTTTTATATTTTCGATCTGAAGTGCTTATAATATGATGTTGGTGCTGTTTTGGAAATTTGTTCTCTATCTACGAGTTGTTCTTGTCCTGAAATTGGGTTGTTGTTCTGTGCTGTGTTGTTGTTTTTGTTCATTCACATATTTGTTGTTCTGATTGGATTATTGTTCATGTGTTTTATTTGATGAAATTGATTGTTGATGTTTATGACTTGGTTGTTTGCTATGTTTTTGTTTTGTTGTTGTTGGTAGTGGTCGGTTGTTTTGTTTGTGGTTGCTGTTTGTTGTTGTTGTTCTTTATATTTTAGATGACTAGTTGTGTTGTTATTGTGTTGTGTTGTTGATGATGTTGATGTTGTTGTTGTTCTTTATATTTTAGATGGTTAGTTGTGTTGTTGTGTTGTTGTTCTATATATTTTAGATGTCTAGTTGTGTTGTTGTTGTGCTGTGTAGTTGTTGTTTTTGCTGTGTTGTTGTTTTTTATATTTTAGATGGTTTGTTGTTGTTGTTCTTTATATTTCAGATGGTTAGTTGTGTTGTTGTTGTGTTGTTGTTGATGTTGTTGATGATGCCGTTGTTTTTTATATTTTAGATAGTTGTTGTGTTGTTATTGTGTTGCTAATGTTGTTGTTGTTGTTTTGTTGTTGTTGCTGTGTGCGCTGTCACGGTTTTCCAGCTGAGATCATTCACAAGAATTGAGATAAATTGGTTTGATTAAATATCTCTCCAACGCAATCACAGATGATGTTATCAGGTTGTTGTTGTAGTTGCTGCTAAGTTGTTTCTGAGTTGTTGTTAGGTTGGTGTTTTTGTTGTTACTGTTGTTGTTGAGTTGTTGTTTGATTGTAATGTTGTTGATGGTTTTATGTTTACTTATTGCTGTTGGTTGAAGTTGTCATGCTGTTGTTGTTGTTGTTGAGTTATTTTAGGATGCTACCGAGTCATTAAGCTAATACGTGTATTTCGAATCTCAAATTTGAAAATAAGGTAAACTGGTATTTGAATCATTGCAATTAATTTGTACCTGGTATATATTGCTCAATACGATCCCGTCACCAGCACCCTTCTATCGCACCGCTTCACCATCACGCTACCACATCCTCACACCACCACACCACCACTCCCCCTATCATCACACCACCCCATCACCACCCTATCACCACACCACCTATCAGCCACTAGGTTTATTTTAGTTCCGATGATGTTTCTGAACGTTTGAGATTAAGATGGGCTGAACGTGAACAACTGAATGAAATAAAGGAAGACGACGACACCAGTGGGAGCCAGGGACCATGCATGCCATAAAAGGAGGCAGGCTGGCTGATGAGATGAGCATTTAAATTTAATATTTCTACATTATTTAATTAAATCTGCAGGTCTCGGTGTGATCAGGATGGCAGAAATATGCGATGTGTGGTCGTTGTGTGTGTGTCTGTGTGTGTGCGTGTGTGTTTGTGTATGTGTGTGGTGTATGTGTGTGTGTGGTGTGTGTGTGTATGTGTGGTGTGTGTTTGTGTGTGTCCTACACAATACAGTCCGTTATAATACAATACTACACATTGCAATACGACACAATACCACACTATACAATAAAATAGTATACAATACAATACCATGCAATACAATACAATTTAATATTATACTATACAACACAACATAATACAATACAATACATTACAATACAATACAATACATTAC